TGGGTGCTGTGCCCAGGGGTGCAGGGGGTGCTGTGCTGGGGGTCTCTGGAATGCCAGGGTGGGGTCCCCAGGGTGCTGTGCCCGGGGGTCCTGTGGGTGCCATTCTGTAGGTCTCTGGATGCCCTGGGTGGGATCCCCAGGGTGCTGAGCTCGGGGGTGCAGTGGGTGCCCCAGGGCGGGTGTGCCCATGGATCCTGTGGGTACTGGGGGTCTCAGGAATGCCAGGGTGGAGTCCCCAGGATGTTGTGCCAGGGATGCAGTGGGTGCCATTCTAGGGGTCTCTGGGGTGTCACAGGTGGGATCCCCAGGGTGCTGTGCCCAGGGGTCCTGTGGGTGCTGGGGGGTCTCTGGAATGCCAGAGGTGGGATCCCCAGGGTCTGTGCCTATGGGGTGCAGTGGGTGCCATGCTGGGGGTCCCTGGAATGCCAGGGTGAGGTCCCCAGAGTGCTGTGCCCAGGGGTGCAGTGGTTACCCCAGGGTGAGGTCCCCAGGGTGCTGTACCCGGGGGTCCTGCAGGTCCCACCCCGGGGGTCTGTGGGTTGCCGAGCCCGTGGGAGCTCTGGGAGCCCGGGGGGTGCCCGGGGGGTGCCCGGGGGGTGCTGGGACCCCCCCGTGTGTGAGGGAGGGGGTCCCCTGGCACGGCTGCTCCCGCGGGCAGTGCCCAGCGCGCCCGAGATCGACCTGGCGGAGTCGCTGGTGGCCGATAACTGCGTGAGCCTGGCATGGAGGATGCCCGAGGAGGGCGGCAAGATCGACCACTACGTGCTGGAGTATCGCAGGACCAACTTCGAGGGGCCCCCCCGTGCCAAGGAGGACCAGCCCTGGATGGTCATCGAGGGCATCAAGGGCACCGAGTACACCCTGTCTGGTGAGGGCACCAAGGGCTGTGCCAGGGGCTGGGGGGCAGGGCCGGGGGCTCTAGGGGACAGTGCCCGCCCTGTGCCCCTCTCTGTGAGCCCACTGTGCCCACAGAGCTGTTCGACATGAAGCACATGAATTTTTGGGCACTGGGGCTGGGTGGCAGTGCCAGGCTGTGCAGGGGACATGGGGATGGCAGTGCCTGTCTCATACCCTGTCTCTGTGACCCTGCTGTGCCCACAGGGCTGAGGTTTGACATGAAGTACATCAATTTTTGGGCACCGGGGCTGTGCCAGCAGCTGGGTGGCAGTGCCAGGCTGTGCAGGGGACACGGGGGTGGCA